ATAATTAGTGATGGATTAGTTGAATATATATTTTTTTTGGTGAATAAAACAACAATATCTTATGTATTACTAATTAAATTAATTTTTGTTGTTATTATAATAATAATAATTTATTTAGTATAAAATACATTCAACTTTATGTGATGAACTTTATACGGTATTGTCTATAGTATAGACTCTATACTATTGCCTACACACACACACACACACACACACACACACACACACACACACACTTACACACATACATACACACCCTCACCAAACCAGACAGTTATGTCATCATCACATTTATGACATAACTATTTGCACCAAATGTCAAAAAATGTGATGCCTTTTATGTGATTGTGTTTAGCAATAAATATATTTATATAACAAAGAATTTCATTATTATTGTATATAATGTTATTTTGTTTGTTATATTATAGTAAAGTATAAAAGAAATCTTTTTTTATTTCATATGTATCTGAAATACAATATCGCTTTAAGAGAAAGAGAGAGAGAGAGAGAGAGAGAGAGAGAGTTTTATTTTATATATTTTTGGGATTTTTATTAAATCTATTATAAATATAAAAACCATTGCTCTCTCTCTCTCTCTCTCTCTCTCTCTCTCTCTCTCTCTCTCTCTCTCTCTCTCTCTCTCTCTCTCTCTCTCTCTCTCTCTCTCTCTTTTAACCATCAAAAACATTTCATTGTCTTTATAGCTGACATTTGATTAGGCAATTGTTGACTTTGAAAGTGTTTTTATTATTTCAATTCATGCATTTAATAACACACATTGTATATTATAAGACAAACACAATATATCTCTCGTAGACCATGAGCTCAAATATTATTATTATTATATTCAGCAAATGTTAACAAACTTTTTTGACTTATGTGATATTATATGTATGTATATATAAGTTATATCATATCTAATAGTTTTTAGTAGTATTATTACAACAAACAGTATAATATATTATATTATTTTTATAGTTGCAAAAATAAAAATTTGTTTTAAATGCTAATATAATATATATAGATATATATATATTGTATAAACACTCGTAAATATTATGGAAAAATTTATGCTCAAAATTAATTACATTTCAATTTGTATTCAAATTTTTATTTGAATTTGAAATTACTTTTTTGTTTTGTTTTTGTATTTCTAGACAAATATTTAGACAAATATGTTTAGATAAGCTTTATATATATATATATATATTAATATAATATCGTTTTAAATGTTTATTTTTATTTAATTAATTTTATTTATCTATTATTATTATTATTTTACTAAAATGATGTCACACTGAGAAACTATAAATTTTCATTTTATAGACTAACTATCAAACAATATGTGTTTTTTATTGTTTGATAATTTTGATTGATGTATAGAAATTATATTTAATTTTTTAATTATATATATTTATACAGTATATACAGTATTAGCAAAATGATTCATTGATAATTGATGTCATAGATATTAATTATAGTAATATTTAGGTTAAAATTGATTTATTAGAAATATAATAATTATTATCAAACAACATCAACAAAAAATTGCAAAATTTTATTTATGCCTTAAAATCAAATCAATAATCAAACAAAAGTAAAATTTATTAAATATTTTTGAAAAATATAATATTTCTTATTTTATTTTTATTAATTCATGATATATGATTAGTTAATAATTTTAATTTTTTTAAAATTGAATTTAATATATGTTTATATACATTATTAAATAAAAATAAAAACTATTTATTTAAATTAATACAGTATATAATAAATTTTTTTAAAGGCAATTCATGTAAGCAATATATTATTAAAGTTATTAAATTTATAAATTTTATTATCAGAAAAAAAATAAATAAATAAATTTAATGGCATAATAAAAATATCAGTAAAAATTACTAAACGTTTTATGATAGTTATAAAAAATTAGTTTTTTTTGTAAAACTTATTAAAGCATAAATATCATAATTTTAAAATATGAATTATTATACTATATATTAAATTTTAAAACAATCAAATACTAATAATAATAATAATAATGACAACTTAATCCATGATTATAGTTGTCTAAAATGTTTTTTTAAATCCTTTAAAATACATACTAATATATATATATTTCTAGATTAATATTTTCAATAAATAAAATTAATCAAAAAATAAAAGAAACTAAAATATTTAATAAAAAAAAAATTTATGGTTTCTGTAACTATAAGACATAAGGCATTGACTTTTTTAGTGTGAAATTTAAATATAAAAAAAAGATGAAAAATAGATTTATTTATTTTTTAAATACCAAATTATTAATAATAACAATATTGGTTAATAAAACTGTAGTGTTTTCTAAGCGATTAAATAATAATTTCAATCAATCAGACTTTTATTTCAAATGTGCATATATTTTAAGGTCAGTCACACACACACATACATACATATACATACATATACACACACAGTTATATAACACATACACACACATATATACATACATTGATACATACAAAGCTAATTATATGCAGTATTGTATTTTAGTTTTTTTTATTAAAAATCTTATATAGATTATATTACTTTTTTTTTAAAAAAATCTACTAATTTATTACTTATTATTCTTAAACAAAAAAAATATTTTATTCAAATTTATATTCAAATAAATATATATTTGTCTGGTTTTTTTTTCATTATATATATATATACTGTACTTAAACTACTGTAATAGCATTGTATTGATTTTGATATTTGCATAATACAAGATTTTTTCGGCTCTCTCTCTCTCTCTCTCTCTCTCTCTCTCTCTCTCTCTCTCTCTCTCTCTTTCTCTCTGTTTATTAATTTATTTGCATTTTATTTGAATTTTTTATATATATATCGATATATATACATATATATTGAAAAAATATCTATTTAACTAATCAATATAAATTTATTTAAAAAAAAGAAATCTACATTAATTGTAAAAAACTATTCAAAAAAAACTAAAATATTTTATATCATATATTACAGGTCAACATAATAGTGGGCACCGGTCAGGGCGTACGGCTGTTCCCGCAGCGTCTCTATGAGGTATCCGTAATGGAGAACCAGTTGACACCACTCCAGTTGATTGACTTGAACTCTACCGATGAGTTGGCTCATCGACCCACTCATTACAGTATTGTGGGAACCGATTACAGGGGTCAGTCATCTAACAAAACAAAAAAAATCAAATATCATTGTCTTATCTTATTTTATTGACAATATATATATTAGATATTAGTATTATGTTATATAATATTTACTCTCTAATATGGAAAAAAATATAATATCCAATAATTTTTTTTATATGTCTATTTCATTATTATTAGTATTATTAGCTATTAGTTAAATAATCCGTTTTTTTTATCAAAATCAATCCCTCTCTGATTTTATATAGAGTAGTGTAATATATAATGTTTCACTACTAATGAAATATATTTTCATAATTTTTGTTTTTTTTGTTGTTGATAAAAGGCATTCAAAATTATGATAACATTGAGAGAGAGAGAGAGAGAGAGAGAGAGAGAGAGAGAGAGAGAKAGAGAGAGAGAGAGAGAGCTATTCATTAGTCATTACATCATAAAAAACAAAGTCTTTTATGGTTAGACTTAACGAAGCGATAGATAATAATAATAATAAAAATAAAATATACTGTAGGTTCTTATATATATATATACACGTATAATAAGTATAGACAATATTTCTGGGATTAATTTTAATCAATATTTGCACACAAATAAAAATACTGTATATATATAAACAGATAATTAATCGATTTTTTATATATGAAATTATATATATATATAAAAAAAATAAAAATACTAAAATGAATTTAGCTAAATTCAAATGAATTACTAAAAATTAAAAAATATATTTATACGGTATTATACAGTATATAATAAAATAAAACATTTCCTGTATTTATATAAATTAATATATATATAGACAATAGTCAAATACACAAATTTATTAAACCTACTAAAATTATTAAAGTAAACATATAAAAAAATTTCAAATATTTGATTATATTATATAATCAACAAAAATAAAAGAAAATTGATTTCCAAGAAAAAAATTACAGAATATTTTCTACAATCACATACTCAATAAAAAAAATACTTTAAATTAACAAATAGTAAATTAAAAACAAACAATAAAATTATCTTATAATTTGTAGGACTGTTCAAAATTGGTGCCGAAACCGGTCGACTGGTTGTAACCCGTAGTCTGGATCGCGAAAAGAAAGACATCTATCACTTGAAAATCAGAGCCGAAAATGTTATTCATCATCGGGTCGGACGTCGGGATGTCAGTGCCCGCAACACAGTGGACACCAACTATCATCTGGCGTTTGACGAAACACTGGTAGTGGTCAACGTTCACGACGAAAACGACAATCCGCCCGTCTTTGACAATAAAGGTCGACCAGTTGTAGCAGCCATTCCTCTGGAGGCCAACTTTGGCTATCAAGTCGTCAAACTAGCTGTAAGTTATAAACATATAATTTTTTATAAAAATTTTGTTTTTGTATATCAAATTGTATATCCAAACAAACAAACCAAAAAAAAATTAGGCCAAAGATGCCGATATCGGTATTAACGGCGCCATACGCTACGAGATACTATCGCGCGGTGACGACTCGTCCTCCCGGTTCCACATCGACCCAGTTTCCGGTGTTATCCGATCGATGGTTACGTTTACGTTAGACGGCGGAAAACTATACGGTTTCGATGTAAAAGCTACCGATAGAGAGGGCAGTGAAAATGGCAACTCTGCCGTCACCAACATATTTGTAATAAACTTTTTAGTTTTTTATTAACATTTTTTTTTGGTTATTTTATTATTTAATTTTTTTATATATATATAGATCTATGTATTACCCGAAACCAAAATGATATTATTTGTTGCCGACAAAGAGCCGATAATGGTTGAGAAAAAATCGGGTGAAATACTAAGCTATTTGACAAATATTACCGGTTTTGATGTCAAAATGGCTAAACTGGGTCCGCATACTGAGGGCGACCAACAGGAAACACAGTCGACCGATATATTTCTCTATGCCGTCAATCCCGATACCAACGATATTGTCGATACGGAAACATTATTAGAGTATTAAAAAAAATACAAACAAAATTAATTGATATTAATTAATAATTTATTTTTTTTAATTCAATACAATCAACAACAATATTATTATAGCGTTTTCCGTCAAAATTCCCAATCAATAGTCGATAGCTTAAGAAATTATAAGATTAGACGAATCCAAGGGGTGACCGTCCAGGAAAAGATCAGTCAGATGGGCGCCACCGAAATAGCCATCATTGCCCTGTCATCAGTCATATTCTTGGGCACTGTACTGGCCATTGCACTCCTGTGCTCGTCTTGTAAAGAAAGGTTTGATTATTTGCTTTTTGTATGCCTTCCTCAACACCTAATTGACAGTCGACTCTCTCTCTCTCTCTCTCTTTCCTTGTCATCAATATGTTTGATGTCCGCAACTAATACTGATTTTTTTATATATATACAATATATATAAGATTTACTATTTTTCTTATTATATTTATATGAATTGATATAATAACTAAATACTAAATACTAATACTGTATAATACGGTACAACAACAACATTGAAGGTTATTAGGCGATAAAGTTAAGAGTACATTGAACTGGATATACATAAAACTTATTATACTTATTATATATGATGTGATATAAGCTTTTACTTAGTGATTGTATTGTATACTATCGGTATATACTGTATATATATATATTTTTAGTCAATAATATATTCAATACATACACACAAAATATACTGTTTGTATATACAGTATATTAACAGTTTTAGTAGTAGTTTTCCTACACATTTCACGACAGATTATGTCTACATTTATTGACATCCGATAACAATAGAGAAGTTCATTAATCAAACACATGAAGTAATAGCACTTCCAGTTTGGGGTCTTAACTATTATACTATAATATTGTGTATATATAATGTATAAACTCTTAAAACAAATTTTTTGTGAGTATATGTGTTTGAGTATTGCTTTTTCTGGCATTTATTTTTATTTGACATCAATTAATACATACACACACTTAAATATAATGTATTTTACTATTATTATACAGTGTATATCAATAGAGATGATGATATGATTATTGTGATTATTCAAAAAAAAACAAAAAATATATTTATATACATTAGATATATATGTAAGATATTATAAAAAATAAATCATTTAATGACTATCACTAGATTTTTTGTTGTTGGTTGATATATACTATTAATAAAGTTTAGGGTTTGTTTACTACAGTTTTATTATTATTATTACAGTAGATAAGCAAATAAACGGATAACAATATATTTGGGAAACTTTTCACTTTTTTTATATATATGTCTAATACTAATAATTTCTATATTATAATCAACAAAAAATTTGTAGAAATTTTTTTATTAACTATTATTATGTTTGAAGATATATATATATAAATTTATATATATCTTTCTAATGTTTATTATCGATTTTTTTGTATATATATATATATATATTTCACATCATTCAAGATTAATGACTGTTTATATTCAAATAAAAATTTTATATAAATACCGATATTATATAAATATACGTGTATTTTATGATTTATTTGTAGATTTTTAAAGTATATTGAACTCACCAAACAGTAATATTTATATATATAAATGTTGTTAATTAACGTTAATGAAAATCTGCTGCTAATCTAATCTCAATCCCCAATAGTATTGTAAACTTCAAAAAATTTTATCTAAAATTTTCGCAAAACTTTTTTGTTTTGTTTTTGAAAACATTTGTTTAAAATTTATGATAATTTTTAAAAAGATTTTTATCTCTATTTTTTAAAAAAAAATATTAATTAATTTTCAATTAATTATTTTATTTAACTCATAGAAAACTACGGCAAAGACAGAGTTCATGGGAACAGCAAAGGCTTTACAATACAAAAAACCCATTAATGGGCAAAACATTGGCCAATCCGTACGGCAATCGTGGAGTTCCCGTCGGTAATGGACACTCGAGCTCTAACTATTCGACAAATGGCGACGGCGTCGGGTATGACCATAAAACGCCGATATTAAAAAAATTGTGTTTTATTTTAATTAACAATTTTTTTCACTAATATATTGTTGCACAGGGATTACGTGGACAGTCTGGCCTCGTATAAGAGGACAAGTACACGGCCAGGGAGTCGGTCGGCCATAATGAACAAATGTCGACAACAGGTGCCACCCGACGGCGCATCGTCGCTGAATCCGCCCCGTAGTCCGCGGTTTTCCGATCGATACAAACATAGTCGCGAAAATCTCAGTGCAGTGGTCGGCGGCGTTGGCGGCGGCAGTAGCGGAGGCATAGGAGTAGTTGGCATCAGCAGCGGTATTACAGCTATGGCCGACTCCAGTCACGATTGGTATGATCCGAAAGCTACGGCCGGCTCTATGTATGTCCTATTGTTGTTGTTGTCCTAACTTTATTGTAAAATATAACTGCTTTTTTTTGACGCGACCAATGTTTTGACGGCTACTATAATATTACAGTAGACTATAAATAACTTTAACTTATATATATAACAGTATATAATTGATTGGTTTCAACATAATAGGCACACAAACACACAAAATAAACTGTGTTTGTATATATGTTAGATAATATATATATATATAGTATCATATATTTAATATAATTTCTATGTATGCCATGATTGAGTGGACGAGACATCAAAGAGAGAGAGAGAGAGAGAGAGAGAGAGAGAGAGAGAGAGAGAGAAATCATATCTACAAATAAAAATTATAATTAAATTTTAAAGACCATCTGTTTGAATATCATTGTGTAATCAGTATAGTAGTAATAATGGCATTTTATTTATAGTAATACTAATATCACACAAATATATACTTTATATATATATATACAGAAAATTTGATACAAACTTTTCAAAAAACCATTGAATCAAATAATTGGCAAAAATAAATTGCATTTTTTATTTATTTGTTTTTTGTTTGTCTGGTTTTTTTTGTGGGTATACTCATCATCATATCTCACTCTCTCGTCACTGACTTTACATTTATATATTGATAATTATATATCATTTTTGCAAATATATATATATATATATATATAATATTTTTCCCTTTAGTTTGTTGTTATATAATAATCTGTGCAAATATTTTAGTTATTATCACCAGATCTTTGACATAAATCTCAATTTTTTTTAAACATTTAGGTTCTTTGAACTGTTATTTTTCCAGTAAATATATATTATTATTATTATTATTATTATTATATATGATATAAATGATTAGATCCATGTATTGCAAAAAAAACATTTTAATTGCTTAAACATTTTTTCCTAAAGTATTATTGTTTTTCATTATTATTATGATTACATAAATATATTATTTTTTTTGTTTAAAAAAAGAGATGCAAAACAAATATTCAATAGAAAAATATCAAATTTAATTAGTGATCAAAAAAATAAATAAATATTTTTTTTGTGTGTTGAAGATATTCAGCTAATCATTACAGTATTTTTTAATGTTTTTAATTGATACACACAATATTTAGGTTAAGATAGTTTTATTTTATTATTATTATTTTATAATTATAAATAATAATAATAATAAAATAACATCTGCTAATTTAATTTTTAAAAAATAATTATTACACATTTATAATAATTATTTTTATGTAAAATACTATCATATATATTATAAAATTGTTTTACACAATAATTGTTGCAAACAAAAAAAAAGTATATATCATATCATATAAATAATTGAAATTTTTATTTTATTTATTTATGTTAAAAATTATAATTATCTTTTATATTTGTTGTGTTTGATTTAAATAATGATAACTTTTATATCTTATAATTGTTAAAACTATTTTCTTATTATTATTTTTTTTAATTTATCGATTAATCACACATTTATTTAAAAATATTAATGAAAAAAAACAATAATAAATAATAATAAAACAATACTTTATTGTTTTTTGAGCAATTAATTTATTATTGATAGATATTATACAGTGTATATCATATTCACACACACACAGAAAAGTAATAATATTTTTATTTACATTAATTTTCTAGACATAGAAAATGATGTTATTTTAATATTAAAATGTAAAACAACATAAAATAAATATTTTTCAAACTTTTTTATTATTATTGTTGTTGTTGTTGATCAGTATAATATTGCAATTATTTAAAGTTATGGGTTAACAGATTACTAGTGAAATATATGTATTATTATTATTGTTATAGTACTATATGTTATCTAATGGATAAGTGCATCAAAAAAATATTGTATTCAATTTGCTATTTTACTTCCCACACAACAATTTATCTAACATAACATATACAGTATATATATACTGTATAGATATAACTTTCACTCTCTCTCTCTCTCTCTCTCAGTTTAGTCTAAATAATAGATTTTTATTATTATAACTTATAAGCTTTAAATTATATTATATAACCCCAAGTAATAACTAACTAATCATAATCTTTCAGCAGAGAGAGAGAGAGAGAGAGAGAGAGAGAGAGAGAGAGAGAGAGAGAGAGAGAGAGAGAAATCGATAATTATTTTATCGGATAAATATTTTTTGGCATTAAATTTATTAATACTTTACTATATAAGCTATCAGTTTTTATTGTTGTCTATACGATATATTGTTGTCTAATATTTTTTATTATTATTTATCAATTTATTTTAGCATTTTATTTGTAACCGTAGCATATGTTTTAGATATCCTGTTATATAATATATATTTATATTATATATAATACTAAATAATGAGTTATCAATAATAATGAGTTTTGTTATACAAAATAAAAAGTAATTTGTTTTTCAATTTATTTGTTTATAATTTTTTTAAAAAAAAACATTGATTTTCTTTGTCTATCGATTTTTGAATGGTTTCAGGAAATATAACTTTATATTGAATTTATTATTAATAAATCCTTTTTTAAAATTAACAGTTTATTTATTTTGCTACTGATTTTACGGTCAATTTTTTTTAAATACAATGTTTATTATTATATAATATAGTTTTTTTTGTATTTTTCCAAAAACATATGCCTATGACATGTGTGGGTGGGTGGGCGGGTGTGAGTGTTAGACATAGATTTTAAAAATTGTATACATCGGGGATTTTTTTGAAAAAAAATAAAAATAAATAAATCTTAAATTGATATTTTAATTATACAGTATTTATAAACAGATAATTATGATATTTTACTGCAAAAAAATTATTCGCAAAATAAATAAATTGATAAAACTGTATTTGAAATAAATATTTAGTTTTATTTATAGATATTGTGTGTGTGTGTGTGTGTGTGTGTGTGTGTGTGTGTGTGTGTGTGTGTGTGTGTGTGTGTGTGTGTGTGTGTGTGTGTGTGTGAACTTAAACTACATAAAAAAAATTTGACAAAAAATTATTTTTATTTATATATATAATTTTTAACATACACACACACATACACTGAAATGTTTTTCATTATCAATGATATATATATATATATAAACAATAATTTTAATTAAAATTCAAATCAAATTATCAAATCACATAATACTGTACTAAAAATCTGTATTAAAATATAAAAAATATAATTAAATTAAATATTACACAAACATACACACTAAAAAATACTAATTTAATTTTTAGTATTTTTTTGATAATCAATAAAATTAATTTTATTTTAAATTTTTTTATTTATTTAAAAAGGGGTTCAGGATTTTCACGCGGGTCGGGCCAATCGGCGCGGTCGGGATATAGCGGGACGAGTTGGTCGTCCAGAAAATCGCGAAACTCTGAAGAGATGAGTCCCGGCGCTCAACTATAAAAAGGGACACAACTTTTCTCGTTAATTAATAAATTAAAACATTTAATAATAATAATTATATTTTTTTAATTAATTAAATAATAATAATATGTTGTTTTTAAATATATAAATTGTTTTTTTTTAATTTTATATATGAATTGTTTTGTTACTTTAATTGTTTTTTAATTATAAATTTATATTTCATAAATTAATTATTGCTAAGAAAAAAGAGGAAACATTTGAAAAAATAGTAATATAATTATTGTTTTATATATATAGATATTTTTTTATTATTAATCATTGATTATAAGTCTATTTACATAATGAAATACTGAAACAAAATTGTATTGTAAAATAAAATAATATTAAAAATTTTTGTTATTATAATGTTATAATCAAGTGGTTATAGACAGTCTAATATATATATATATATAGTTGACAACATTGAGGAGCACTTAAAATCAATTGACTGATCACACAATATATATTTATATCTATATATACTGTATATAAATATTTATATACTTATATATCAATTATTTTTTAGGTCTATTTTTCAAATGTAATATTTTTGAAATTAATATTAATAACAAAAAAAATATTAATAACAAAAAAATATGTCATCAAATAAAATATATATATAAAAAAAAATCTTTGGGCGATATGTTATATGCAAAAAAGCTTTTTATTATTATAATATATATAAATATATATATAAACTATTTTTTTGTCTTAATACATAAAATTAATTTATATTCAACTTTTTATGTTAATATATATTTCCCACAAATCTTGTTATTAAAATAAATATATATTTATATATAAAAAAAATATATAAGTATGCTTTTAGCCTATATATCGATCGCATTAAATGCAAGAAAAATGTCATTTAAAATTAAATTTTAAAAAAAAACTAATGTCTATTTATTTGGCATAATTGAAGAGATTTTTTTTAATGTTATTAAATGATTATATTAATACTATTAATTTAATTTTTATTAAAAGATTATTATTTTAAAATATATATTTATAAGTTATTTTGAATTGATTTGTAGTACAAAAAATTTTGTACCATGAACCAATTGTTATACAATTATTATTATTATTATTATTATACTTGTTTTGTATAAGCCATTTAGAAAAAATAATAAAAATTAATATTAAAAACTATTGATATATTTTATTAATGTAATTGATTTATTTTTATTATTATTATTTTAATGTAAAATTATTTATTATAGTTTTAAAAAAAAAGCTTTTATTTAATACAAAAAATAAATATACATATATAATTTATTTTATCATATAATTTTATTATACTTAAAATCTAATGACAACAAAAATTTCAAACAAATACAATATAATTTTCTATACATTATATCCACTTTTTTACAATACAAAAATAAAATCTAATTATTATATGCAGAATATTTTTGATCAAATTTAGCCAAAAAAATAATACTAATAATAATAATACATTATTACTGTATATTAGTTTCATTTTTGTGATTTTTTTTAATACATAAAAACAAATTTTTTCTCTCTTATATCTACATGTAATACACTTTATTTTTTTTTATTTTCTATAGCAAATGATAAATGACTTTTTTTAGTATAAGATTACTATCAATACTACTAAATAAAAATTGAATCCTTAGTATTGACGGAAATATACAGTATATATACTGTAGTAATAGTATTATATCAATGAAAATGTTTTCGTCTAATGCTATGATTGTTGTTAAACTTTCTATAAAATATATTATATATATATATAAGTATATAATGTATAAATTTATGTCTATAATGTCTGGTAATACATATATACACTATACTATACAATGTATTGATATAACCAATATTATCAATGTAGTAGTAAATAATATACTGTAATATATATATATTATACACTGTATATCAAAATAAGTCAATTTTTCAACATTTTCTTATATATGTTTAGTTAATACATATAATATATTGTAGTATTGATAAAAAAAATCATTGACTATTAATCATCGAGGTCCTATCAATTAATTTAATTGAGACCTAAATTTCAAGACAAAAATATGTCAATATAATGTGCCGGAAAAAATTATCGCCAATTTTTTTTTAAAAAAAATAGTTTTTTTTTTAATTTTATTTTATATAATCAATAATTTATTATCATTAATAACAAATTACTGAGTAAATCAATAATGTTTTCTTTAAGATCAAATTATTTATTTTATAATTTTTATTTATTTTTTTTATTTTTTGTTACACAGTTAAATTATAAAATATTTTCATAAATACATTTTTCAACTATAATTTATAAATATATATTTATACTGTTTATCATATTATAAATATAACTTATAATTTGTGATATTTTAGTATTTTTATTGTTGAAATTAATGTGATTGAAATTAATGACATTATATAAATTTAATTTAAATAGATATTATCTATCAATTTTAAATTACCATCATTATAATGTTTTTTTATTAATATTTGTAAAAATATTTACTATAAATAACACATAAACTACCAATTTATATACACATTTAATAAATTTATCATCTAGGTAAATGTTATAATTATATTTTGTTTGTATTTAATATATATATTTTATAAGTATGTTGTGTAAGCTTTAAAACTTATTAATGCTAAAGTTTAACTAAATATTTTGTTTTTAATTAAAATAAATATATATTTTAAATATATTTTTATAGTAAGCTCTACTATAGGTATTATATTACATGTTTTTTTTAAAAAATAATAAATCATAAAATTTAACATATAATGAAACTTTCATTTTTTTAATACAAAAATAATTGGACAAAAAAAGCGAAACACAAAAATAATAATCAATTTAAATATATGTAAAAAAAATTTTGTTAATAATAATATCTTTGTTGCTGTTATTATGATTTATGATTTAAATTTTTATATGATATTATTACCTAATGATTACGCAATAAACATAAATATATATAATATATTTCATTTTATCTTTTTTTTTAAATAAAACTATAATATTTATTTATAAATAATTTATGATAAAAATAATTTAAATCTATATTTATATTATTAATCTAAGCTAAAAGTAAAATAATATTATTTTAATTGATTTAAATCATAGTTAATGTAAAAATAAAATGATTGTTTAACTTCCTGTAACATTTATACACCAAAATATACTGTAATAAACATCAAATTATTATTATAGCATTTAAACAAATAGTTATATTTAAAAGCAATATATATATATATAAACATTTCATTTTAACTACTTTTGGTCCAAAATATCTGTAAAATCTAAAAATGATTTTTATATTATTTATATGCGGGTATCTAAAATAAATAAATATATTTATTATTTACTCTAATATACCATCATCATATTATCATTTAAATAAATAAATAAATAATTTAATTAATTGTATTTTTTTTAGTCTACATTTATATCACTTTTATATCAATCAAGTGTATGTATGTTTGTGTGTGTGTGTGTGTGTGTGTGTGTGTGTGTGTGTGTGTGTGTGTGTGTGTGTGTGTATGTATGTGTATGTGTTTTATTGTATAATATACAGATATGAATAAAATATTACATTTTATATTATTATTATATAATATAATATATACAGTAGTATATACCTACAATTGTACAATAGTACTATAAAATTTATATATTTAATTATATATATATATTTATAATAAATTGTTGATATTGTAGAGACACTGTAAATTGTAATTATAATATTATATCAATTATATTTAGTGTATATATGTTTCACATATAAAGGATTTTTTTCACCAAATATATTGTATTATTATCGTTATTATTATTATTATTATTATAGGAAAATAATAATACAAATAAAATCAATTCAATCAAATCAATTATAAATTACATAATTCCCAGTGAATTGTTAATGAACTCGCACTGTGTATCCGCTTTAATGGTAATCCTGTTGATGGTAGCCCTGGTATTAGACCTGGATGAAACATTTTGTCCACGCATACTATTAGCACTTGTAGTTATACCTGTATAAGCAAATAAACCAAACAAGCAAAAAAATGTTTTAAATTTATATTAACAAAAAAGTTCATTGTATTCGGATATCATATAATTTACTAAATAAACAAATTGCTAATTATTTGTTGTTTAAATCTTTTTAATTTAAAAAAAACATTTTCTAAGTATTAAATATAAATTATTTAAAATGCAAATGAAATGTTATTTTTTTCACAGTAAATATATATATATATATACTGTATTATTACTAATGTATTAATCTATTTGCCGACAGTATATATATATTATATATATAACTCTAAATAAGTCCGTGAAAAAATGCTAATTAATATCTAATTTTAGTTATAAAAAAAATTTTTGCAGTATTTACTGTAAAATATTTTTTTATTATCACTACTGCGAAAGATTTGTAATGAAAGAGAGAGAGAGAGAGAGAGAGAGAGAGAGAGAGAGAGAGAAAGAGGAATGGGATGTTAAAGACCTTTCATTTTCAATTTGTAGTTAATCTTCAAATAATTTTATTTATCAATACTTTACAAAAACTTAACGGTAAGTTCGCTGACATTAATTGACAACATATGTGAACTGATATAACCCTTGACTTTAATTCCCAATTATAGCCTTCAAGAAGAAAAAAATAGTACCGTATTTTCATTACTATTTATTTTTATGTTTATTTACATTTTTATAGCAAAAATTTAGTGTATTTCCTATATTTATGATATATTTATAACATTGAATTGAATATTATTATTATTATCGTTATTATGATTATTCTGTTCCTAAAAATTCCGTATAAATATTCTCTTTAAATAATATTATTGAATATTTATTTTTGTTTCCTCTCTCTCTCTCTCTCTCTCTCTCTCTCTCTAATTACTCAACTATTATTTGCATAAATATTATCGTTAGAAAATGTTTTGACTGTTAAAATAATTTATTATAAAATAGATCTCATTAATTGTCTACTATTTAGCATTGATTTTATTTATTTATTTTTTGCTAAACTAAGGAATAGATATACATATATATATATATATATATAAATTAAGATAAAATTTAAATTTAAAAAATTATTAAGTTTTTAAAAATTATTAATTAAGTTAAAACACAAAAAAAATAATTTATTATATTGTTAACAGTGTTGTGTGTGCGTGTAGTAAATAACCTTAAATTTTATTATTTAAAACTTATTTAAATTATAATATACAGTATACAACAATATTATAACTTTATAAAGCATTTTATTTATTTTTTATTATCCAATGCTTGATAAATACTATTTGCTTTTTTAACTATTTTTTGATAGACAAAAAATTATACAATATAAACAAATCTAATAAAACTGTCTAGTCTATAGAAAATAAAATTCAATATAAAATTTTGAATATATTATTTATTTTTATCTTTTAAGAAATTTTTTTTTGTAACTAAATATATATATATATATATATATATAAAACAATATATTAAGACATTGTCTAAGTGAGTACATGTATTTAAAACTGTATATATATATTGATATACTATACAATATACTGTATAATATATGGGCATAAAATTTGTATAATTTTTATCCCTTTTTTGTGTGTCATTTGCATATCAATTTGCGTGTAAAATAAATCTACAAAAAAATATATATACTGTATAAGTATACAGTATAAGACAGTAAACAAAAAGTTAACATATATGTAGTATAGACTGTATAGTGTGTATTAAGTTATAACAGTGTATAGTATATGCAAACATGCAGTCAAATAAAAAGCACTCAACAAATAATAAAAATAAAAAATAAAATAAAAAAAACTTTTTTTGTGTGTATAATACTGTATTTATAAAACAATAGAAAACTGATAAACAAAATTCAATCAAAACAAAGTACAGTACAATAATAATAATAATATAAAAAAACTTATTTATTTTGATATATTTAGTGGGAATTTAGTAGGAATTTAGTGGGAATTTAGTGGGAATTTAGTGGGAATTTAGTGGGAATTTAGTGGGAATTTAGTGGGAATTTAGTGGGAATTTAATGGGAATTTAGTGGGAATTTAGTGGGAATTTAGTGGGAATTTAGTGGGAATTTAGTGGGAATTTAGTGGGAATTTACTCAAATTTGGCAAACATTGTCGTTTAAAAATGCAAAAAAAAATATGTTCACCCCCCCTATACCCTCAAGCTTTTTTTAGATTTTTGCCATTTTACCCCCTCCTATACCCCCCCCTGAAATTGAAAACCTTTAGTAAGCCTGATATATATATATATATATAATATATATAAATAAATCTATGGATAATATACTTACGACCGCAACAACATTTGCGTGTCTTCAGCAACGATAGGAAACCCATTCGGTATTTTTTATTGAAAAAACAGTATAACATTGGATTGTAACAGGAATTGGATGCACCCAACCATTGGGCCAGCGGTGCCATTATCATCAATAGTCGCTCATGTATGCTATCACTTTCGATTGGTCCGCCCAATTTGATTACAGCAAATATACAGTACAGTGGTAACCATGATATTACAAATACTATCACCTATAGATTTATTGTTAACAAAAATAATAATAATTGTCAATTAAAAACAAATTTAATTTTCTAAATCATATATAAAAACTTTTTTCTAAAAAATTTTTTTTGTTTAATAAGAAATAATAATATCATTTAAATTGTTTGTATGATACTATCCTATTATATCATAATTATCATCAAAAAATTATTTTTAATTAATTGATAGCTATATTCATATTCTGTAAGTATTGTATTCATAATTATAATATCATAATTATATATATATATATAAACTAAAATTTATTAAATTCAATTTAATTAGGAAATTATAGACCACTAAATCCATATACAATATATATATATATATATATATATATAAAATATATACGAATTTCTAATAATCAAATAAATCTAATAACACACAAAAATATTTATATATAAAGTATTTATTAGATTATTATTTTTTGTCTCTATTTTTGTGTCTATATTTTTTGTGTGTGTATTGTTTATGTGTTTGAAAATCAATAATCAAAAAAAAAATCTTATAATCAAATATAAAACACTTCTAAACAAATCAATTACAAACACTTACAATAACGACAAACATTTTGGCCGTCTTTAGTTTGGACCGTTGCAGCAGATATTCAATTTGTAACGGTTTGGCCGTTTCGCCGGGTATACTACGGCGCCAGACTTTCATCCAGATGGCTATATAGCACGATGTTATGATAAACAATGGTATCAGATAGCAGAGGAATAGGTTGGCAATGATAAAGTAGGTCTTCTCCGAGTATTCGTTAGGCCATTGTTCCAGACATAGCATCATTGGGTCGGGTGCTGATGGGTCGATGGGTTGTAATGTAAAATATAGTGCCCACGGAATGGCAATAACCGATGAGTACAGCCATATGCATACTATGGCGTAACGGGCGCACCGTCTGGTCATTTGACACCGCAATGGATGACATATCGATAGGAATCTATAGTATAGTATAGTATATATATACAGGTATTTATATATAATTATTATATCTGTATTATAATAACATATTTATACATTAAATAAACACTTTTATAAGATATTATGAAATGATATAAATATAGTAAATATTAATTTATCAATACATATTTATATCATTAAATGGTGATAACTTTATAACATATTAACTTATTTTTATATAATATATATTTTATTGCCAATAGATATTTTAGTCAATAATATCTATTTATTTATATTTTTTTCTTGTTGTTGATATAATTATGTAAATAATATTTATTATGCTATAAATACTAAATTGGCCATTAATATATTTAGATAAATTATAGCTATAATATATATATATATAGTATATATACTGTATTTAATATGATATTAGTTATGTGAAAAATTATTTATATTTATTAACTCTCTCTCTCTCTCTCTCTCTCTCTCTCTCTCTCTCATTATTATTATTATTATTATTAATTGTGTCTATCGTTTGTTGACTTTTATTATTTTATTCATAACCTAACACAAAGATAATGAATATTTTATGTGAATATATATTATATACTTTTATTTCTTTTTCTTATTATTGTTGCCAAACCTATTACTTGTCTGATATGTTTGACAAACACATAGACATAGACATAGAGAGAGAGAGAGAGAGAGAGAGAGAGAGAGAGAGAGAGAGAGAGAGAGAGAGAGAGAGAGAGAGAGAAGAGAGAGAGAGAGAGAGAGAGAGAGAATAAGAGTAAGTAAGTGAATGTATAGTAAGTACAGTACATATCGGATACTTATGTAACATAAGATTCTTCTATTATTTAAAGATAATAAACTCACTTTCATTGTACTGTTATATCCATAATATATATAATATATATTAAGTGGATATAGTATTCATTTGAGTTAATTCATTGATTCATTGCATAATAAAAACAACAACAAAATAATAGTAATAATAATAAAAACTTAAGATACTATACTCTACAGTATATACTGATATATATAGGGAGCAAACATACTTGTACTGTACAACTAAACACACATTTTTATTGTCTATTATATATAAATATATTATATATACTGTATTTGTAAAGAGATATTTTTTATAATATAATAAAATAAAACACTCATTTAATAATAATAATAATAATAATAATAAATATAGATACTAGCATGTTTGCTTACTGGCATAATTATGCTAATATACTGAATGAAAAAAAACAAATTATTAACATTCACATAACAAATATTACTATTATTGAAATTTAATAATAATAATAATAATAATAATAATTACTACTAACCTATCTATAGATACGGCTACCAATGTATTGATTGATGCGCTGACGACAACCCCTAATTTATGAATGAATAGATAATTATAATTTATATTATATATTATATATTGTTTATATAAATTTATACAATAAAATTATATTTAAGAAATTAGTAGTGTTGCCATAGAATTTTAAAAATATAAATTAATTTTAATAATAATTTTATTTTTTAATTTTATTTTTTAATTTTTTCTAATGGAAAAATTCTAAAACTATATAATTATGTTTTAATAATAATAATATTCTAATCAATTCTATTATATTAAAAAACATATTATATTCATCCATATAATAATAAATCATATGATAATTTTTATAATAATAAAAAAGTTAATATGATTAGTAATAATAAATAATATAAATATGTATATATTATATAATTTACCTTGGAGGTATGCGACAGCTTTGCACATGATTGCACCAAAGATCCATGCTAGATTTACATTTAAAAAAATAAAATAATAGTAGTACTAAAGTAAATTTAAGTACAAATATTAAATGTCATATAATATATATATATACTGTATACATTATTACTGCATATATTTATTATACCTATATTTATATGTATGATAAGCTCATTAAATATTTATTATAAAAATGCTTTTAATACTAATAATAATAATAATATACAAAATTTTAGTGAACTTTGAAAAATACATTTTTGTTGTGTATGTATGTATGTGTGTGTGTGTGTGTGTGTGTGTGTGTGTGTGTGTGTGTGTGTGTGTGTTTGTGTGTCTTACACCCACTGCTTAATTAAATAGATTAAACATAATTATCATAAATATTTATATACATGTATTATACTGTTATACACGTAATACTAAATTAAAATTATAAATGGATTTTTAAAATAAATTACACCATTTATTAAAATGTGAAAGTATATCAATAAAATAAAATATATAAATTTGTATAAATCAAATAGTTTTGTGAAATAATATATATATATATATATTATTTATATATTTAATTAATTAAATTCTATTAGACTAGTGTATAATCAATATTTTAATTTTTTTAAAAATTACAAAATAAATGTAATAAATTATTTTGCTTTTAACATATTTACACCGACATAATGTGTATACATATTACTGATGAATAAAATATATTGTAATGTATTTTTTAAATTATTAATAAAATAACAAAAAACTTATCTTATTATCTCTTTTAATGAACACATAATAATACTAAAAACTAAAGTAAAGTAAAATTTATTATTTATTATATTAAGAATAACATAGAATTTGTTTATTTATTTTTGTTATTATTTTTTTGTTGAGTATAAATTATAAGTCAAATTAAATTATAAATTTTTAAAAAATAAATAACTATAACTTTTTTTAACATACATATACAGTAATATGTATATCAGATTTGTTAAATTTGAATTCATTAATTAAAGTTAAACAACTATTATTTTTTATCTTTCACTTAACAAACAAATCTCTCTCTCTCTCTCTAAACAACATTTTTATTGAAAAATTATTCAAAATTAATTGTAATGTTTGTAATAATTATAATTTTCAATAATTAAATTACATATATTTTTCATTTATGTTATTTTTTTTAAAAAAAACTATACATAAAAAAATTTCTAAATATAGTAATAATAAATGACTAGACAAACACAACACTAAAATGATGCTGCATTTAATACAGTATAATAATAATAATAATAATAATAATAATAATGGTTATTATTTAAATTTTTTCATATTATTAGATTTTAGACATTGAAATGATAAAACTACAGTATTAAATTTAATAATATAATATTTTTTTTTAATCTCAAATGACCCAAATTTTAGTTTACAAAAAAATTAAGGAAAAAACATTAGAATATTCTCTAAAAAAATATAACCAGAATCTCTCTCTCTCTCTTTCTCACTCACTCACTCACTCACTCACTCACTCACTCACTCATTCACTCACTCACTCACTCACTCACTCACTCACTCACTCACTCACTCACTCACACTCACACACACATCATATAAAATATCATTAAATATATATTTGTAGAAAACTTTTTTTTCCTGTATATATATATCCCTTTTATTCAATGTTGATAATAACGACAAAAATTGTTGTTTTTTAGTATAAATAAAATATATTTACAGTATATCTACAAAAAAAAGACTAACAATAACGCTAATGACAAAAGTATATATATATATATATATATATATATATATATATTCTGTATATATTTTTCGGTACATAAATTGGTGTCATTTTTAGTGTCCAAAATTTTTTCCTGTCATTTTTATTATTTTTATTATTAGTATTACTACTATTACTACTAGTGTGTGTGCACTCAAATATAATTTTTATTTTGTTGTTAGAAAAATGTTTTATTTTATTTGCTTTTTTCTATCTTAATTGTAAAAAAAAAAAAATTCAAAAAACTTTACACTATTGTATTACCCATACTATACTACTATATATATAATTATATATATATATACCGGTATAATATATATGAAAGCATTTGCAAAATTTATTATTAATTTTTCTTTACTGTACACTTGAAAACTAGGAAAAGATTTTTATATTATATATATCAGTATATACTGTATGTGTTATATACTGTATGTATAATACAATACAGATAGTTATCTCTCAATGAATGAATGTTAATATAGTTTTTTATCACACATTTTTGTTGTTGTATTGTATTTCCTTAATTACAACACACACACACACACACAAACATACACACAAACATACACACATACACACACATACATACACACACATACATACACACACATACACACACACACATACACATATACACACACATAAACACACATACATACACACACATACATACACACATACATACACACATACATACACACATACACATAGACATACTCACATACATACATACACTATAAATTATATTAAATAATAATAAAATTTATCTTGTACAAAAATGTTGTTTTCTAATGCTATTGTGTCTATAGACATTAACACTATTAGTATTTTGTATATGTGTTTGTATATAATTATTGTGCAATAATATAATAGCATATAATATATTAACAAACAAACAAAAACACCAAAAAAAATTATCAAAGCACTCAATCTTTCATTTAATATTAAACTCAAAATATAATATTAAAAAAAACTAAAATTTTTTTATTCTTGTAGTTTCTTTTTTCATTGTCAACTATATTAAAAAATATATTTTGCAATATATTGATTTTTCATCTAAATCAAAAAAAATATATATTTATATATATACCGTATATAGTGTAATGGTATATGTATAGAAAAATAATAAATATAAAAAACATTGGTATGCAATTTCAACTTAACGAAAAAAAAGTGATAAATTATTGATTATTTGTTTTTGTATTAAGATTGACAAATAGTTTGTAAATTATTTCACTATTAACTTAATAGGAATTTAACAATATATATATATATATATAKAAAATATATAAAAACAAAACTATATAAAACAAAGACGTGTTTGTAATAGTTAAGCGATAAAAAAATAAGCTCTAAATATATAGTATTAAATAAAATAATACTTAATATATACAGTGTATATACAGGGTTGTTTTTATTGTACAAGTGAAGTAATTTGCTTATAATTTCAAAACTAAACAAGATATTTTAATAAAACAAAAACTAATGTGTAAAGGAGATGTGGGAAATTTACTTAAGCCTGTTTTTTAAAAATTATATAGCGTAGTTTTAATGTAATTACACTAGATACAAAAATATTGCTCATAGGCCACACCGTAATACTACCAAGTTACTATAATATACATTTTGTAGACAATAGATAAAAGTAATAATTAATAATTTAACAATTGATTTAGGCACATTTAAATAAAATTAAGGTATTTTTCTTTAGTTTAAAAAATTGATATTTTTATTTTTAAGCAATTTTTATTGCGTAAATCGTGATTTTCATTGATTATATTAGACTTCAATTAATTTTTACATCAATATTATATCAATAAAAAATATTTCTTTTAATTAGTTGATCAAAAAAATAAAGAAAAAATATCATTTTATGCATACAAATTACTAGAGATTTTGAATTTTAATTTCTCATTATTTTAATCCTTAAGTAAAAAATTTTGAAATTATTTCAAATAATTTTCCCACATCTCATTTACAACTTAATTTTTGTTTTATTAAAATATCTTGTTTAGTTTTGAAGTTATAAGCAAATTACTTCACTTGTACAATTAAAACAACCCTGTATATATATATATATATTAAAAACCTATTGAAAGTCAATAGCTATTTAAAAAATAATTTATTATTATTTTTTATTTTATGTTATTTTTTTAAATTTTTATTATGTTTTTTTGTTGATAAAAATTAATAGTCAACACTTACGTATGAGCAGATTGCTTATTAGGGTTGCCGGCAGACAAAATATGAGCACTAGTATGTCGGCAAATGCTAGATTGACAATGAAAAAGTTGGTCACTGTCCTCATTCGTGGCGATTGTACGACAACAATGACTACACAACAGTTGCCGACTATACCCAGTATAAAGACTATAGTATAGGCCATACATAGTATGATGGATACGCTGGACGAGTGTCGGAACCATAGCTGATCCGACCATTCAAACTGATTGTACATTTCATCACCAATACTACTACTACTGCTACTAATACTACTGTCGACGTTATACGTGTGGTTATACTGATTGTCATCATTTAGATCAATAGCATAATCACTGATATTATTATTATTATTATTAATTAAGACAAGATTTTGTGCAATAAAAAAATTAGTGTTAACTTTATATATATTACTAATATTAATATTGAGATAATTATTATTATTATTAGTTTTTAATAAATTCATTTTGTTATTATTATTATTTAATTAATTAATAAATAAACTCTTTTATTAAAAAAACAAATTTCTGTTTCATCTAATCTTTTTTAATAATAGTAATACTGTATATAAATAATACAAATAATATAACACCAAATATATATATATATATATATATATAATGATATTCTTTTATACAGAATATTCTTTAGACTGAAAATCCATTACATAAGTCATTTGATTTTTGTTTGTGTCGTTACTATTATTATTAAAATATTTCTCTTATTTAGAAAAATTTATTTTTGTTGTTATCATCACTTTTTTGTTGTGTTAGCAAAAAATAAAATAAAATAATACTAAATAAAACTTTTCAATAATGATTTATATAGATATTAAAAATAAAACTTTTTTTCCCACACACACAGTGTTATATACTTGAACTACAACTATGATAGAAAAAGATCCGGTGCTAAGCACTGTATGTTATTGAATGAATGAATATAGTTAGTGAGTGAGAGGATCGGTATGATGTGTGTGTGTGTGTGTGTGTGTGTGTGTGTGTGTGTACACTGAGAGCACACATACATATCATACAATAGATCCCTATATATATATATAAGTTATCATTTGCTTATCCATACAGTGAGTGTATAGTCTATTAGTGTACTAAATAGAGTGAGTGAGAGCACTGAGAGCATGGAAAGTAATGGCCAACAAATAAAAAAAAGTTATGCCATCACTCATACTATGATCAACTGTTAGCTACAAAGTTATAGTCTATCAAGTTTTCAAATTAGTATATATAAAACAGTATATATTATGCTTATATAGATAATTAGCGTAATTTGCTTGAAAATTTACTAATGTATATATATATTTTTAATTAAAATATTACTAATATATGATATTACTATTATATAAAAAAATCAAATAATATGAACAACAACAACGAAAATCAATAATAAAATTTCATGTTAAATTGATTTAAAAAATTTACATACAATGTATAATAGTTACAAAATATCATATACAGTACTTAATAATTTTTTTTGTTGCTTAATTGATTTAGTTTAAACAAAACATAATAATAATAATAGTAATTATAATATTAATAATATAAATTATTTGCACATTTATTGCGCAAAATACTAATCAAAAATCCTAATATTATTATTATTAATTCATGTTACTTTGAAAAATACTAATCATATTACTTTATATTTAAATTATATAATAAAAAGTATTGAATTGTTTAGTTTGTTTTTAAAAAAAATTACAGTATTTCTAAATACAGTAAATATAAATCAAATCAAAAATAGTAAACATGTTTATTTCATATACAATAACTATATTTAAAGTATTAATGATATACTGACAGTATGTATCATATAATATAATATAATTTTTGTCTAAAATTATTTTTGTATAACTTATTTTTGCTTAAAAGTAAATCACATAAACTTATAAATATATTATAGAAATATTTAGATATACATATAAATTATATCTAATAATATTAATACGGAATTTTCTTTTTAAAAAATTACAATATATAAATTACATTTATTTATTAAATTTATTTATATATGATAATATATATATATATATATATATATATATATGTCATAATAAAATGATTTTTTTTAAATATTTAAGTGAAATAGAGTAAAATTAATATATTTATTAATATATATTTATGATTTATTTCAGTATCAATATTCAATATTATACAGTATCATACATATAAAATGTTTATTATTATAATACTGTAATAATAATAATGATGATAATAATAATACTAATACTAAAATCCGGATCAATTGTTAAATATTAAAGGTACTCAATCAATGCTAATAATAATAATAATAATCATAATCATTGATATAAGAAAAATAATATTAATAATAAATACTAATAATAATAATAATCTCTGAAATCATAGAAACATTGTCTTATTTTATTTTTTGATTTTTTTTCTGGGGATTGCAAATAATATTGCAATTAAAATCAATAAGATTTAGAGACTAATATAATAATAATAACTTATTAATAAGAAAACTTATATATAATTGGCAACGGATAAACTGATACAACTAAATAATAACCAATAATAATAATAATAATAATAACAAATAATGTAATTCAATATAATTATTATTATTAGTGGTCAAAAATATAAGCCAATTATTTACAGTATATATAATATTATTAATACCTGTACTGTATATGTGCTAACAATAATAGAAATAAAACAAAAATATTATTAAATTTTTATTGACAGTCATATGTTTTCTAACTAATAGGTAATCCAAATCTCTCTCTCTCTCTCTCTCTCTCTCTCTCTCTCTCTTTAATTATTTTTGATTACTTCAACAGATAATAAAATAAAATAATTATGAAATATTATACAAAAACATATTTATAAATTATAAGTCATATGACTTTATTAAAATCATATTAAATCTTTTTGTCAATACATTATGCCAGCAAATTACATAATATTTTCTATTAATATATTTAAGGTATTATTTTCATATAATTTTCAATATTACTAGTTTTGCCATTGTTTGCCATTACAGTAGTTGTTAATTGTTTGATATTTTCAAAAAATCAAACAAAACAAAAATCTATGCGGAAGTCAACTATGAAATTGATTCAGTCATACAAAAAAAATAAGTGACAAATAAAGTGTGAAATAATTGTTAGATTTTTAAATTTGTTGATATAATCAAAAGTATTGTTAAACTTTGTGTTTGATTTTTATATTATATTTAAATGCTAAACATAAGCCTATCACGTGTACTGCATATCGATTTCCAAATAAATTTACATTACATGTAATTTTATAAATATAATATGATATACAATAGATAGATAAATAGATAGATAGTGAATAAAAAGCTATATATATTATAGTACACATTATTGTCTATTATTTAATACTTTAATATATTGATATCAAATGCTAATCAAATGCTAAACATATTATAATAAAATAAAGACTTAACTTTTTATTTTTTAAAAAAATAGAGTATTTTTCCATAAAATACAAACTTTTAGTAAATAAATTCAATTTACAAAAAAAATCATCTATAATACAATAATATTCAATAATACCAACAACAAAAAATCAGATATAAGATTATCCATAATATATTTTAAAGAGAGAGAGAAAAAGAGAAAGAGAGAGAGAGAGAGAGAGAGAGAGAGAGAGAGAGAGAGAGAGAGAGAAAATAAAATAAAAAATTTAAATTATTTTATCAACTAATAAATATTTATTATTTTCTATACTATAGTTGACAATAGAAAAAAAAAAAAAATAAAAGATTTATATAAAATAGATTATATACTGTACAACATAACAAATAAATATAAGTTTATAAACTATACACACAAACAAACAAACAAATTACGGTAATTGTAAATTGTGACTTGTAATTAATTAAAAAAAATAAAAATAATATTTATAAAAAAAATTAGGAATAGGAAAAAAATTCTGTATATCAAAAAAGGCTTCGCCGAGATTCGAACTCGGGATCTCCTGTTTACTAGACAGGCGCTTTAACCAACTAAGCCACGAAGCCAGCACGTGATTGGCACGAAACTAACAGTGCTCTGATATACTGTGTGTATGTATAAGTGTGTTAGAGGTCAGTCACATGAGCGGCCACAAGTCACATGATTGCACACACATTTATTTTATAGTATAACTCCCTGTGCGCTAACCTGCCAGTGCTCAGTGTGTGTGTGTGTGTATTTATGTATGCTCAATATTTCATCATGTAAAATTATTTCATACATAACCATCAATTATGTCGGGTGCATTTAATACCCCCCACCCCACCACATAAATATAATATATAGCTTCAATTATATCAATGTATCGATAATTTAATTTAGTTTTTTTATATAAATATTTATTTAGCTAACTATTTGTTAAATGCAATTTAATTTATCGATTATATATACATAGGATTATTATTTTTTAAACTATTTTTTTTTGTTACACTACTATAGTATTATTATAGTATTAATAATTAAATCCCCCATTGAATCGTAATATATGTTTTTAAATGTATTTTAAATATAATAAACTATAGTAACTAACCAACGGTTTTCTAGGTATAATAAAAATCAAAAATAACACAAAAAATTTTCAAACAAACCAAACAATAAAAATCCACTAATAATTTGATTGTTAATCAATAAATAAAAAAATAAATAAGTTATTAATTGTCACATTTAATTGCATTGTTTTTTTTGGTGTTAGTTTTAACTATTTTTTTTAATCAATTTATATATTTAATTAATCATTTATAATATATATTTTAAACATAAAATTATATGATTACTTATCATATATGTATTATAATTTAACAAACAATTGATTACCGCAACACTTAATTACCGATATTAGACAACAACCAATTTTCGGTAAGTTTTTTTTTTGGTGACCACTTTTATGTATATATAGTTTTCATACAAACTATAGTTTGTAAAACTTTAGCCCAAAATAAATCATAAATATATATTAAAAAACTAATTATCAGATTATAATATTATACTAAATATTAAAATATAAATGTTATAACAATTGCTAAATAAATATTATATTAAATTAAATAATAATATTAATTGTGATCATAATCTCTTAGACAATGATTTGAGATTTGATGATAATGTTGTTGTAGTAGTAGTAGTAGTAGTAGTATTTGTACCAATAATTTGCTTGAATTTTTCATTATGCAATATCATTGCCTGAATTAAGCCCATTGTCGATGATATGAACCAATAATAGGTGACACTCTTTTAAATTAAAATGATTTTTTTTAAAATTAATAATAATTTATGATATGATAATCAATTGATATTATCAATTAAATTAAGTTAAAATATCTGATCACTTACTGCTGGCATATAAATACCAATTGGTATTAACAATAGACTCAGACCTCGGCCTAAGTTTGTGATCACTGAATGCATTGTTGTCTTTGTGCCCATTCTTCTAAGTCTCTCATTTGAATGAATCTTTATTTTTTAATTAATTTACAAAAAAAAACGATATAATTATCAATTGATCATAAAATATATATCCAATATATATCATATACTAAAATACCTGTACTATTGTCAAGTTAACCATTGCTGTCATCAATGGTAGCGCATAGTATGGATCAGTTTGCGTTAAATTGGTAAACCATAACCAGCCTTCTGTTGACAATTGATTGTAGACTAACTGTGCCGTCGGCTCATCAGCTGACGGATACATGAAAGCCATGTTTCTGATTGCGTGCGACAATACTATCCAAACGGGTATCTGAAACCAGACAACCAGCGATGCCTTCATCGGGTGACAGTTATCTCTGATTATCAATCGTTTCATTTCTTGTTTCATCTGATCCAATGAAGAGTGGATAATATGAGTGGTGTTTAAGTCAAATAAATATCTTATAAACAAAAATTACCCGATAGTTGAACATAAATTTTGACCGCATTGGTGACCAATTGAACAGATATCGGGCCGAATCCACTTCTTTCTTAAGTTTATCGCCAAACTGGTTAATCTCGGGTTTTAATGCTTCATATTTGGCCAGAATTTTGTGTTGACTAATACTTAGCGGGAATGTAATCAATAATCTGATGCCGATGGTTACCAATGTTGTCTCCACTGTCCACGACATACCTGACCAATCGTGCAAATCAATTAGCCCGTCTTTAACCGTTTGGACTGTCGACGAATTGGCCAGTTTTTGGCCGATACCGATCCAGCTGTTCATATACGACTCGTACGATAGGTGTCGGACACTGACTATTGATGATGATAATGATGTCTGGCCGCCATCGATGACCACCACATGTTTATTGTTGATGTAATGTTGTCGATGATAACGATGACATTGACAGCCGCGGCAAAGTAATTGTTGGCCAACTTTACGGTTCATAATAATAATATATAGGTAGTGATTAGCGATTAGGGATAATCCTAAAGTAGTTAATCCTTAAATAATAATTAATTATAAACTTTATTATTATATTTTCGGGTAAATTATACTATCAGTTGATATTTAAAAAAAAACTAAAATATTTTTTATTATTTATTTTTTTGTTTTGTTTTTTTTTTGGATAACATTTCATACATGTGTTGTGTTTACAAAAATAATAGTTAATATTTATGTGTAATAATAATAATAGTTATGTCAATAATAACGGCGCTTTAAAATTGATTTTTTTTTATTTTTGATTATTAATGATTAATTTGATATCAAAAATGTGTTTTTATTTGAATACAGAAATAAAAGTTTCTTTAAATGAAAAACACATTTGTTTTATTTGAAAAACTAGTATTAAATTACAAGTCATATACTGTACTTTGAAATGTTATGTTATGTTTGTGTTAATAAAGTATTGTGCGATAAGGTATGTGTTGTTTATTTGTTTGTATAGACAGATAGAGAGGGAGAGGGGGGACACACCTAACATATTACTAACTGTGCGGACAGTTGATCTGATTGGGCGCCAAACATATGAAACATAGGGTCACTCTATTTGATATACACAACAGTACAGTATATGTGTGGCACTGGGAGAAAGCATGGCTGACTAAAGTACTAAATATATAGCTCTATATATGACATACCCTAACCCTTATTGATAGCCTAACCAAACCTAACAAATATACCCACAAAAAAAACTCATTGTCCTATCACTTGACATATTTGACTTCAAACAACAAACAATTAATTTTTTTTTTTGATTAACAATCGATTAATGTATGCATTAATTAGCTTTAAATATGATATAAAAATCAATAACTTTTATAACCATTTATTTGTTTTCTAACAGATTTTTACCATTTAATTAAAGGACACATAAATAAAACAAAAATGGCAGGCCGTGGACGAGCGCGGCAATTGTTGGCCGCGATGGCCAAAGAGGATGAGGAAAAGGGATCAGTAGCCGCACCGTCAGCAACGGCAGCCCCGTCGACACCGACAGCGCCTATTCCCGTACTGCCGGCCGGTGTTGGACGCGGTCGAGGTCGTGCCCTATTGCAACAATTGCCGACAACAACCATAGCGGCAGGCGATACGCCAGACTCGCCGCCGCGCGAGGGTTCGAGTTCTTCGTCGGATCAACCGTCGACGTCCGGAGCTGTCGGATCGCCGCCGACCGAGGAAATTGAAGGATTAACACTGGATGCCGAGCGTAGAGCCCGTTTTCCGCCACAGCCGGCCAACATTGAAAACAAACAGCGCGGTACCGATGGCCAGACAATCAAATTGTCGCTAAATTACATTAAGCTAACCCGAACCGAAGGTTTCGGTATATTTATGTACGACATTAAATTCATACCGCATATCGATGCCCGTGCCTTGAGATCGAAAATTTTACGCCAACCCGAAGTGGTTGACAAGATTGGCACTGTTTGGCAATTTTCGGGTCTAAGTATTTATCTGAATCATAAAGTCGAGGATCAGATGATCGATACCCAACATCCGGGAGACGGATCGCCAATGAAATTGCAATTGACATTCACAAAGATGCCACCGTTTCAAGAGTTAATCATGTTTTACAATACAACAATCAGAAAGATTATGCGCGAACTCAAACTGGTCCAAATCCAGCGCCACTATTACGATCCGACCAACAAGATTGACATACCTCAGCATAAGCTGGAGGTCTGGCCCGGCTATTGTCAATCGGTACAGGATCTGGACGGCGGTCTACTACTACAGTGCGATTCCTCACATCGGCTGTTGCGTACACAGACAGCCAAAGAGATAATGCAAGAACTGTTCCGATTGGGCAAAGATCGGTTCCGCGATAACGTACTGAAACGTGTTGTTGGCTGCGTAGTACTAACCCGTTATAACAACAAACCCTATCGGGTCGATGATGTCGACTTTGTTAATAATCCATTGTCGACGTTCAGCTGGAACGGCCAAGAGGTTACCTATGTTGAGTACTTTCAGAAGTCGTGGCAAATCGAAATCAAAGATCACAGACAACCACTGCTCGTTCATCGACCAAAACCAAGAAAAGGAGAGACCAAAGTTCAGGTTTGTATAGTTTTTTTTAGTTTGTTTGGATGATTACTAACTGTTTGATGAATTTGTTTGTTTGTATTAAACAGGGATTAGAAATGATTTGTCTAATACCGGAACTGTGTTTTATGACCGGATTAACTGATGACATCAGATCTGATACGAGAGCCATGAAAGACATTGCTTCGCACACTCGTATTAAGCCGGAGACTCGTCAGGCAAAGCTCAAGCAATACATACAGAATGTATTGACCACACCGAATGCGCGCAGACATCTGACCGACTGGGGTTTGGATATGGATCCCGAACCATTCCAGACGACTGGCCGTACTATTGCACCCGAAACGATTGTCTACGGCCGGGATGTCAAAGTAACTGTCAGCCAAAAGGCCGATTGGGGTCGCGAGTCGACACAGAATGCCATTTTCAGACCAGTAGATATCAAGAAGTGGATGATTGTGTCCACACATCGCGACTCGTCCAAAGTGGACGAGTTTATTAAGACACTGAAAATGGTTACTCGTAATATGGGTTTCATGTTTGGCGATCCGGAACGGGTACAGGCCCACGACGATTCGCCACTCGGCTACGTCAATGCCATCAAAAATGCCAATGTTGGCCAAAATCAAATAGTTGTCTGTATGACACCGGGATCGTCTCAGCGCGAAGATCGATACGGTGCCATCAAAAAGCTATGCTATTGCGAAATAGGTGTTCCCAATCAGGTTATACGTGCCTATACACTGTCGGATACGAAAATGCGTTCCGTTTGCCAGAAGGTTGCCATTCAAATGTCATGTAAAGTTGGCGGATCTCCCTGGGCTGTAACTATGCCACTCAAGTCAGTAATGGTTGTCGGTATCGATGTCTATCACGATCCGGCCCAGAAGGGCAAATCGGTTGTCGGTATTGTCTCGTCATGTAATCCATCAGTCAGTCAATGGTATTCGCGTGTCTACTATCAGAATACACACCAGGAAATAGTCAATACATTGGAATCGGGAATCATTGCCTGTGTTCGCAAATATTCCGAAGTGAATAACGTTTTGCCGCAAAAGATTGTCATCTACAGAGACGGTGTTTCCGATGGTCAGTTGCAAACTGTTAGCGATTACGAATTGGTCCAAATACAGAATGCATTGCTCGACTACGGCAAGTCGTACAACAACTACGACCCGTCGGTTTCGATGATTGTCGTCCAGAAGCGTGTGAATGCCAAACTGTTTTTGATACAGGCCGGTGCCAGCGAGTTGGGTAATCCGCCGCCCGGTTCGGTCATCGATCATAGTATTACACGCCGAAACTATTATGACTTTTATCTCATCAATCAACACGTAACCCAGGGATCGGCTACACCGACCCGCTATATCGTTATCTACGACGGCATCAATTTCCCGCCCGATCGTATGCAACGTTTCTCATTTAAGATGACTCATCTCTACTACAATTGGTTCGGTACTATTCAAGTGCCCGCACCCTGTATGGTATGTACCGGTTAATTAGGATGTGTTTAGTTTATTTTTTAATTAATTTTTAATGTATATTATTTTATTTGTTTGATAGTACGCTCATAAAGCCGCTTATATGGTCGGCCAGGTTATCAAGAAGCCGCCGACGGAGAACTTGACCTCACAATTGTATTTCCTCTAAGAAAATTAGAGGAAAAGTCGGGTATCATTTCGATAGTGGAGGAACTGGCTATCACTGCCATATCATATATGTCATTATCAATCGGACATTTTTTTTTTTAATTATACAAACATTTTTCATAATTATTATTATTATTTTTGTATTTTCAGTGTCAACAAAAAAACACATTTGTCATTTTTTTACATTTATTGAAACATTTGGTTAACTATTATTATTATTATTATTTTGAAAATTACAATCGTTAATTGATGAAAAAAATATTATTTTTTTGCATTTGTTTTTTTTATAATACACAGTTAATATGTTATATTTTATTATTATTACTATTATAATGCCATATATATTACTTGTCAATCAAACATTTATCTAAAATAAGCATTTTATTTGTCTGTTCCTAATTGAAACAAATTGTTTTTTTTAAAAATAATTATTTAAATAATTGCTTGTTTTTTTTGTTGGTTGTTTGATGTGATAAAACATGAGTCCATTATTATTTTTTTGTGTATGCATTTATCTCTCATTCCTTAATAGTAAATTGTGATGACATTTGATGATCAACATAACATAACAACAAAAATGTCACTAAAATTGTTAGTTAGTTATCACAAATTGTTAATTATTATTATTATTATTATCTTTTATATATATATTATAAAGAATTAATATGAAAAAACACAAATTATTTCTACAATACATATTTTATTTGACAAATTATTTTTATTATTATTATTATTACAATTATTAATCTTTAAAATTAATTAAAGAAATTAACAATTGAATAACAATCAACAACAAAAAATAATTAATTTTACAAAACAAATATATTTTATCTGAAAAAAATTATTTTTACATAATATCTATCATTAATAATGATTTGTTATATTTGAAATTTATTTTGAAACTTATTATTAATATTTTTTCTCTCTTTGTATTAAAAATTATTATTAAAAAAATAAATAAATGTATCTTTTGAAGAAAAAGATTATATTAAAAATTATTTTTAAAAAAATAAATAATTGGTTATTGGTACCAGGTAATATAATTATTATAGAAAACGATATAGCTAAAAATTCAAAATATAATTCAATACACAATACTAATTAGATTTTCATAAAACAATTTACTATATAATTTACATGACCTAGATATTAAAACCCAGATACTATTAAATTTACAAAAATAGATTTCAAATGTTTCAAAAATTATTACATAACAGAGAATTGTTTTACAACAACAAAAATTATATATATATATATATTAATATATAATTTTAGGTAATTATTTTTGAGGAATCAAATAATAACTTACGGCAACTCTAAATTGTAACTTAAAAATAAAATCTAAATAATTATATAAATTATATATATATATATATATATTACTATTACCGGTATAATAATTTATAAATTATAGTAGTAATTAAATTTATACAATTGTAATACTTTATATACAAATGTATATTATATTAATTATATTACATTATGGGTATCTCTTTCTCTTTCTCTCTCTCTCTCTCTCTCTCTCTCTCTCTCTCTCTCTCTCTCTCTCTCTCTTTAAAAAACACACTTAAGGCTATTTATAATAATTTAATTTTTGTCTATTCAATAATTAGCATACATTAGTAGTGTGTGTTTTTTTTGTGGTCAAACAACCATCAGTCATATGATTGTAGATTATTACAGGTATTATTGTCATTAGTGTGTGTATTGTCTTATATTTTTCAATAACAAAAAAATATATTTTAAGTTAAACATCACTTTATCCCATATTTTTGATTTTTAATAGCATTATACAGACAGTATTATATTATTATTATTATTATTATTATTATTATTATTATAACGGGTGCACTAAAACAGGTTTTAGGAGGGGAGTGGGGTAGATAGGGGGGTTAGAGGTTTATTATTAGGTTTTTGGCACAACTAATAGCTATTCATCATCACTAATGAATTGTGTGGAAAAATACAATATATGTATAAATAATAAACAATTTTATCTTATTGTCTAATCTACAGTACTATATATACCTGTATATACAGTATATTTAAAAACAATTTATTGATAATATTTTTTGTTTATTAATTTGGCTTAAAATTTATTTGTAATCTTTCAAAAATCGTATAATAATATTTAAGATAAATAAATTTTAAAAAATTAGGTCTAAAAATAAATCAAATAAAATCTATTTCAAAAAATTCAATTTAATTTTTATTAAAAGTTCTGATCAAAAATTAACATTCATGTCATAATTATTTTTTTATAAATATTATAATAAAATATTTTATTTAATAAACAATTTATAAATATATATCTCTATAAATATATAAATTTTTTTACAAATTTTTATAATAATATTCTGTTAATAAAATACTGTAAATTTAATAACAAATAATAATTATTAAATTTAATTTTTTTCTCTATTGTGAATATAATTTTATAAATTGACTAAAGATGATAATTATTAGCAATTTAATTAAAAATTAATAAAAATAGATAATTCATAAATTAAAACATAACTTAAATAATTATTTAAAATTAATTGTATATTATATTTAAATATATATATATTTAAAAAGTGATTTAAAAAACAATTTTCATATAATTTTTAAGTATAAACTCTTTGTCTAAATAAATATTAAATTGTAAAAAAATATATATATTTAATGTCTAAAAATTGTCATCTTTAGAGAAATTGCTCATCAATTTGGTATCAAAAATATCAGTTTACTTGTTATATATATAATATTAATATATAAATAATATATCTTTGGCTAATGTCATGTTTAAACATTATATTTAATAAAACAATAATAATTAGGTATAATATAATAATTAAATAATATGATTTTTTTTATTGCTGTATGTGTTAGTTAAACCCAGCAATAAATATGCACACAAAAAAACTACTACAACTACCATATAAAGTGTATAATGGGAGGGGAAAGGTATCGCAAAAAGTTTTTTTATCATTAAAAAAATGGTCGGTAACTGCTCTGATCAGGGATTCAATTGTCAAAACATACAATTATAATACATTACTACTAATAATAATAGGATGGGATGGCAAACCAACAACTATCACTCAATTAATAACTTAACTATAATTAATAGTTTTAATTATATATATATATTTAAAAAAATAATTAAAACTAAAAAATACGAATAATGTGTTCATAAAAAAACGGTAGTTATCATCATATCATAGTTATGGCACTTAAAGTTATTACAGACATAACATATAATCACTACTCAGTTAGCTATCTATCTATTTATTAGTAAATCTCTTAATTTATTTATTAACAACAACAACGACAACAACAACAAAATCGGGGGCAGCTTTTAAAGTCGGGCTTTTCGCCGATTAACCCGCAAAGTATCCGACAAATCATAGCATATACAGACACAACAGCCGGGAAATCGAAACCAATCGGCAAATATGCCGCGACATTCGTTTTTCGGGTCGAAGGCCAACAGCCGATGCAATCGATACTGTTGTTCGCATCGACAGCCGTCCCGGCAGAACATCTGCGATCCTTCGTAGGCACACTTCTCCCAATGGATGTACTGTTCAAACGGATAGACATTCAGTAGGGCCAGTGTCTCGCCCCGTGTATTATTAGCCCAATACGGTGCTATCACTTCCTCTTTAATAGGACACGCGTTGACACCTTTGCGCGGCGGTTCGGTCGCGGCTTCGCTATCGTTGTCCGACGACTCGGATGTAGTGGCAGTTGTATGCGGTGTTGTTACAGAGTTGGCGTAACTTTGGTCGACAGCAACACCGTTGGGTACAATGTCGTTGGGTTCGCGATTGTTGTCATCGATGTTGCTGTCGTCGCCGGCATTGTTGTCATCATCATCTTCGGCGGTAGTAATAGTTGTCGTAGTCGGCGACGACGACAATATATCGCCATAACTGGTACTATCCATTTCGACAACTGTCGCATCGCCGCCGTTGATGTCATAGTCGGCAAACAGTTTGTCTGGTGTCGATCGGACCTCTGATTCGGGAATAGTTGTATTCCCGCTTTCGGCGCTATTATTATTATTATTATTACTATACATACTATCAATAGTATTATTATAGAGGTTTGGCATAATATTATCGGTGCTTGAATTAGATGACAAACTAGTTGTCGAACTGGACGTCGTAATGGTTGGCGACGACGATGTCGAGTGAGTGCCGCCGCCACCACTGCTGGACAGGTCGGGTACGGTTCGTGTTGGACCAAAAAAATCCGGATCAGGTGTCTGAGCCCTACCGCGTTCGTACATATAAATCGAGTCATACTTTTCGCGAATTTCGTCGATCTCCGACCTCAAGACCTGACTGTGCCGTTGGTCGCCATACATGCGGCGCATGAATCCTTGATTTTCGTATATATATCGCCGGACACTACTCCACGGATAGGCACTGCCCGGTTGATTACAGAAAGACATTTTGGTCATATCGCACGGTATTTCCATCAACAATCGGGGACTGATTCGGGGTCCGCATTGCATTTGGCCAACAACTGGTGTGATGTCAATCGGTAAAACAAGTAGAAGTAGAAGAAGCGGTAAAAAATTACAAACAACTGTTTCAAATTGTTTGGTCAGTGGATGGTTGGATGCCATGACTTTGAAAAAGGGATGGTTAGGTTGAGATGGACTTCTTATGTATGCCTGGTATGTCTGTCTATATGGGGAACTGGTGTTTAAGCACTGCTATACTGCTATAGCTATACTGTAGTGTAAAAACTTTTTTTTGTTGATGAAGACTTTTGCTGTTTAGTTGGTAACTGTCTCTCTCTCTCTCTCTCTCGACAACAAAGTGTTGGACACGTGTGCACTACTATTATCTGTGTCACACAGTGTCAGTCAGTCAGTCAACATACCCACCATCTCTCCAAAAATCAAACCCCAAAACGCTGTTTTAAAATCCCGTATTTTTCAATAGCCACGCCTACTATCTGTCAAACACTGTTTGCTTTAATACATTATATAGTCATATACTGTATTAATATACAAACAGCTTATGTATAGTATTGTACAGCACTTTAAAAAAATTTGTTTAAATTAAAAAAAAAATTTCTAATGTTAGACTGCAGTAGTAGATCACGTGACTTGAAAAATACTAGATTTATTATTACATAATATTATTATTATATTTAGATTTAAAAATCTAATATATATTTAGAAATTATAAATTAAAAATCTAATATGATATGAATGCTATATACTGTATATATATATTTTTTAGTAATGAAAATTTCAATTTATTATTATTTTATTTATTTATTAATGATTAAGATTAATTTCTTGATAATTATTTTTTTAGAATATTAATTTTTTAAAATTAGTAATTTATTTATTTTTTACAAATAACATTTAATAACAATATGTGAAATAAATATCTTTAAAAAAACTAATTAATATTTATTAATCTGTTTAAAAAAACATTAAACTATAATAGACAATTTTATTAATATAATAAATACCTATAAAATAATTAAATAATTAAGTAAGGTACTTTAGATTATTATGTTATACTTATTTATTTTAGTTTTTTTTTGTAAAAAAATAATTAAATAAATTTTAAATAACTTCAAAGTTATATATCAAATATAATACTGAAACTCTTATATTAGAAATATATTACTCGTCTCTCTCTATGTATTGCATTGTTTGTTATTAATAATAATTTTTTTTAATACACTATTCATACGTCACTTACATAGCATATGATTGGTTGTTGACATCACTTGTGTTGTTGTTGTTGTTGTCGATTAACAACTGGTTTGTTGTTGTTTTTTGGTTGTCTGAAGAATTGATTGATTGATTGATGACATCTTCAGATCAAATGGATGGATCAAAAAGATTAAGACAGACATCGATTGAAGACTTTGTTATTGTGGTCAAGAGGAAGACATCGGCAACAATTGGTGTCATTAATGATAATGATAATCGTAAGGACAATAACACCGCCGCCGCTGATAATGGCCATCAATTGTTGCCGGCAGTCGCCATGAACACATCCGACCCGATGGCCGACAGCAATATTGGCCAACAAACAAGCGCTGCTGACCAACAAATGAGTGTCGATGATAACAACCCGACGATGACGACGACGACCACCACCGATGATGTCATGTCTATTGAACTGAGCGATTGGTCAGAAACTAGCGATATAAGCGAAATACCTGAAACACCACCCGATGGACAACAACTCGCGACGGTATTGGACACGATTAGTAGTAGAAGTAGTAGTAGTAGTACTAGTGATGATGATGACAGTACCGCTGCGTTTAAATCATTGAACCGAATGCCTGGTTGTCTGCAACCATTGTCACCGCTGACAACTGGTCCGCATTACTACATATTGTATCGGATCTCCGACAACAACGACGTTTCGCTCGACATTTCTGGCCGACGACTGTCGCCACCGAAACCGTTTCCCAATCACTATACCGACAAATGGGACGCCAAACATGTGAAAATGCCTAACAGTCCGAACAATCAGATAACAGCCGTGGAACAGACCAGCGACGGACAAGTGATTAGACGGCGACAATCAAAGTGGGAACTAATCGAAAAGAGTCTACTCATTGATATTAAATGTGTGGAACAGTTGGAGGAGACGATGAAAACTTATAATCCGTTTGTCGAAAATTATAATTTCAATGTTTTGAGAACTTTTCTGAACGATAACTGTGATCAACGAGAAAGGTCACAGTTTTTCGATGAAATTCTGCCCAAAATGATTCAATTGACACTACAGTTGCCAGCGATTGTCACCCAATCGGTTCCGATGCTTAAACAAAGACAAAACGCCACCTTATTTCTAAGTCAACAACAAATTTCTTGTCTCTTAGCCAATGCATTCTTCTGTACGTTTCCTAAGCGAAGTCATACTAATGAAGAATATAAGAATTTTCCGGTCATTAACTTCTTGAGGTATTTGTATTAATCATTAGACAATTGATCCCTTTTTTTGATGTCTAAGTAATAATAATCTCTCAAAACAGTTTGTTCACAAACTATGGATACGATGACAATTCGCAGACAAAAATCGAAAAACTAAAATGTATTATCAATTACTTTCGGCGAGTAGTCAAAGACCCACCAACTGGTGTCGTCAGTTTTGAACGAAGATATCGGACTAGCGATGAACTACCCGTTTGGCAAAACTCGATGAAATCGTTGAGGAAATTGGTAACAATGAAGAATGGTTTTATCGAAAATGAAGGCAAAGGTCTACTGCAAGTAGACTTTGCCAACAAATACATCGGAGGCGGTGTTTTGGGCGGCGGCTGTGTTCAGGAAGAGATTCGATTTGCCATTTGTCCCGAACTGATTGTCGCCCGACTTTTTACCGAACGATTGCTGAACAATGAGGTTCTAGTGATGAACGGTTGCGAACAGTTTAGCGAATATACCGGTTATGCCAATAGTTTTATGTGGACTAATGATTACAGAGATGATGTACCGTTTGATGAGTGGGGCCGTCGACTAACCAGAATTGTGGCCATCGATGCATTGTATTTTACATACTCTATGATTGATAGTCAATACGATAATTCGCAAATTGAACGCGAATTGAATAAAGCGTACATCGGGTTTATGGACACCACCACCACTATCGGTGATTGTGATCCGAAACATAAGTGCGCCATTGCGTCGGGCAATTGGGGTTGCGGTGCCTTCAACGGTGATCCCGAACTGAAAGCTGTCATCCAATTGATGGCCGCCACCGAAGCCGACAGAGATCTGGTACTCTTTACGTTCGGCGATTCTCGACTGAAGAAAAAGTTGAATAAATTCTATACATTCAGTGCAACCAATGGTTTCAAAGTTAAACATTTGTCCAGAGCTTTGAAATTATATCAACAAAACCGGAAGTCAAAAGCAATCAAAAAAAGTGTTAGTGTTTTGGATTTTATTATCAACTGTTGTAGTGATGTTGTGACTACTATTGGGTGACAATAATTTAAGTAACTGTTTAACTACTGGTAATCGATATATGAATTGCTTAAACAAACAAAATAAATAAACAGTTAGTGCCTAAAAAACAGTTAAATTTTTTTAAAATGTATTATTTGTGTGTATAAATTAATTAAATTATGTAAACAACACAGTAGTTAATTAAAGCGATTTTTAATTTATTAATCTGTTTTATATATAAAAAAAAGTTGTATATTAATTATATAAGTTATAAATTTAACTTATGTTGTAATATATATATATACAGGATTTTAATTTATTTATTGTTTTTTTTTGTTTTAAAATATATATAATATATTTTGTACTTTTGTAATAAAAAAATAAAAAGCTGTAATAATTAAAAATTACCGGTAATCTATAACTTTAGTTTTAATTATATATATATATATTTAAATATTAAATATTTCTAATATTTACTAAAATGTATTTATTTATATTGTCTATAATTTTTACAATTTTTACTATAAAAACTCAATTACCGATACATTAAACAGAAAAAAATACTGTAATCAGTATTATATTTAATTTACTATAATATTAGTATTATTAGTAGTAAATTAATATAAAATAATTATTACCGGAATAAATTTAAGAGTTAATATTACAATTTTTAAAAAAAAAACTAAAAATACTACTATTTATAAAAAGTTTAATTAATTTTGTTTAAAAAAATGTTTGCAGACATTACTAAAAAAAGAAAATCAAAATTCAATTTTCGATAAAACATCGATTCTTTGCTTAAGAGTATCGATAAGACAACTCAATTCATCCATTTCTTGACTTTCGACATCTTTGACGAGTTTATTGTATTCATTCATTAGTTTGCGTTTAGTCGCCACTCCGTCGGTTACCGTCTTCATCGATGACACTGTAAGACAGTGTTTATCATTAGCCGATTCTTGCAATTGATTCAAAATAACGTTGAGATCTGTTCTCCACGACATCTCTTCTTTGACATTAATCACATAAAATTCTTTAATCCGAAGACACTCTTTGTTTAGTTGACGCAAACTATTGCAAAGTTCTTCAAGTTTGCCACACTTTTCCCTATTGAATACATCCAATAGTTGGCTTTTGTCGACATCACTTAAGGTCAACTCATCCAACCATTGATCTAACCATTCATCGGGTTTCTCAATGGTCTTCAAATTACTATTCAATTCATTAACAATTTGTTCGGCAATATCTTTCGGATCTTTGACCATCAAATCAGTGTTCAAATCGTTTTTCATTGACTCAAGACATTCGACTAATTTAATTCGCAGATTAGTATAATTGGCGGTCAAATCGTGTCCATTGTTTCCGTTTGGATCAGTTGTTGTATTGACAAACTGTGATCGTCTGGCCGTCAAATCTTTGTGTATATAATTCAATATCTGAACTCTTTCGTTAAGAAACGCCAACTCTTTGTTCAGTTCATCCACTTTTGTTTGATCCACAATGACATCACTTTGACGTTCATTATATCTTCAGATAAGAGATACAGGAAAAATTGGTTATAAAAAAATAAAAACAATTGTCAATCAAATTACAGATCCATTTGCTGTTTGGTAACAAAGACTCCGCTGTCGGTAACCTTTTTGGTGACATTCAGTAGCCATTGATTTGTTTGCATCTCATCTCTTAAGAGTGACTCGAAATAAATCAACTCCTGATGACTAAAAAAATGTTGACCGCCATCGGCGTCGGTATCGTGTTGTCTGATCATTGAAATCAGTTTTGCCGACAAATATTGTCGGGACTGACGCGAGTTTAGCGGTTGCTGACGATGATTGTCACCGCCGACGGCGCCGCCGCCGCGGACCAGCTCTTTGGCAACTTGTTTGGACATCACTGATACCACAATAATCAACAACAACAACAACAAAACTATCACTTAATTAGGTCTCAGTTTTTATTTAATATTTTTTTTTTTAATAATAATAACAGTTATTATGATATTTAGCGCCAAATAAAAACAATAGTGATGTCAACAAACAAATTGTTCATAAATTACGTCCGCATAGGGTTTTTGAATGATATTATTCAAGTGGTGTTTAAATGTAAGACACAATATTAAAAAGGGATTATAAAATATATTATTAGACAATGACATCATTTATGTCATACATATGTTTGTTTGTGTTTTGATATTTTTTTTAAATAAATATTTAATTTGTTTTTTTTGTGACCAAATGTTTTGACTATTTTTTTGTTTGTTGAAGACATGAGTAAATCTGATCCGAAAAAACGTACAAAAGATTTGGCCGCTGTTTGTCTGCCGTTTCCCTATCCAGTGGTCAATAGTAACGGTAGTAATCGATCGGTAGTGTGGCCACTGACCGAACCAGGATTTCCGCTGTTTTACGGGACGTTCAACGCCGTCGATAAATGTGTCCAAATTTTGGACGAAACGGCCGCAGTTTGTCTCCGAAATATGGGTTTCTTTGGCATTAATCCGAGCGTTCGGCTCAACTCAAGAGGTTTACCACAACAACAACAGCAACGCCGACAACAGTTTAAAGACAAACAACAGAAATCAAACGATGATGTGATGGACACCAGTAATAAAGACACTAAAAAATTACCGAAAGAGACCAACTATTTGAACGGCAAATACGTTTTGGTCAGCACTTCTTTGCCAAACGCTTCCACTAGTTTCTCCTCCGGTGACGATAACGACTGTACCGATGATAAAGCCATTGTTGTCGACGACGACGAAGACGAAGAATCATTTGATAGTGATTCAGATGTCGACGACGATAACAGATGTCAATCATTATCTAAAAGTGATAACAAAGACAACGTAACCAAACTATCACTGATTGAATCATTTTTCATATCCTATGTCTTCGGCTCTTTGAATGTCATGAATCCCGACGACGACGACAATAGCGACTATCTATCGCTTAAGCAAATGTGGCTCAAGTTTGCCAATCATTATAGCACTGATCCACAAGAGTTTGCCGTCCATTACAGTGCTTATCATTATTTCCGATCGAAAGGTTGGATCGTCCGAAACGGTAGCTCTTTTGGTGTCCATTATGTGCTCTACAAAGAGGGTCCGCATCTCTATCACGCTCTCTATTCAGTGATAATTCAGTACACCATCGATGGCAACGATAGTGAAGACAATCGACATTCAAAGGCCGAACCGATCGATTGGTTTCATATGTCAGCTCTTATAAGACTACAGAAGAATGTCCGCAAAGTTTGTGATAAATTTATTTTGTTTTTTTAATAAGTTTTTATTAATCAATTGAAACTATATTTATTTATTTATTTGTTTTTTGCAGCAATTGTTAGTTTGTATGATAACTGTTCCCAAAGATTGTGACATATCTGCACCAAATTGTATCAAACAGTTTGAAATTGATGTAAGAAAATATAATTTAAAAAAAATATTTTTTAATATATAATTTACTTATATTTGTTTGTTTTTTTTTTGAAAAAAATAATTTATTAAAATAGTTATTAGAATTTAATCGCTGGAATACATTCAAGAAAAACCAATGACAGAGATGTCGTCGACGATTAGCTGCTGATGAAGAAAAATGTTGAATAAATTCAAGACATTTATCGCAACCAATGGTTACACTAAGTCAAACATTTGTCAAAAGATTTGAAATTATATGAAATGAAATAAAACCGAAAATCAAAAGACAATCAACAAAAAAATATTAGTGTTTTTAGGATTTTATTATCAACTGTTGTAGTGATGGTTGTGACTACTATTTGGTGACACAATTTAAGTACTGTTTAATTAATGGATAAATGAATTATTTTTATTTTTTTTAAATAACAGTTAGACCTGTGCCTAAAAATAATTTTTAATTATTGTGTGTATAATATTACACTATTACTGGTAATTATATTAACAATACATTTGGTTGTACTGTACTTTTCAATAGATAAAGTTTATAAAAGAGATTTTTATTTTATTAACTATTTGTTTAATACAAAAAAAATTGTATATTAATTTTATAAGTTATAACTTTGATTTGTATTGTATATAATACAGTATTTTATTTATTTTTTTGTTTATTTGTAAAAAAATATAATAATATATTTTATATATTTTCTTTTGTTTAATAATAAATAAAAAACTGCAGTAAATAAAAGTTATTATAACTTAATTTCAAAATTATATTCAAAAGAGTCCTTTTGAAAGTGATTGAGATGTCAACGACAACAGGATGTCAACCATTATCTAAAAGTGGTGTCAAAAGACAATGTAACCAAACTATCATTGATTTGAATCATTTTTAATATCATATCAATCATTCTATCTATTTAGTGATAATTCAGTACACCATCGATGGCAACGATAGTGAAGACAATCGACATTCAAAAGCCGAACCGATCGATTGGTTTTATATGACAGCTCTTCATAAGACTACAGAAGAATGTCCGCAAAGTTTGTGATAAATTTATTTTGTTTTTTATTAATTAGTTTTTATTAATTAATTGAAATAAAATCAACAATTTTGACCACAAAAAAATTGGTATTAAAAAAACAAAAATTTATTTTTCGTATATACAGTATATTAATGAATAAAAATATTGAATGAAATTAGGGATCAATTTTGTTGAATAAATTTGATATCTATTTGAATGACATTAAAGTTTTTTATATCTAAACGTTTTGATAGCACTGACAGATCTCTCATATTCACATTTATCCATAAAATTCTTCATATACTGGTAGTCGGTATTAGCCGAACCCTTCAGATATTTGACTAAAAACCGTACGATTCTTTGTTCCCCTTTTGCCCATCTCTTGCGAGTGATAGGTACCGGTGCTGAACAACAACAAACAAAAAATAATTATAAAACAAACTATTAGTTTAATTACAGTATTAATAAAATCAATCAATTAGTGTGTGTATGTGTGTGTGTGTGTGTTAGTCAATCAATGTATGTGTGGTTAAAAATCAGTGATTAATTGTATAAATAAAATCTAAAAACTGTAGGTTTATATCATACCATTGACTTCTGGGCCATCACTTTCGTCAGTCTCTTTGTCAGTTTCTTCGTCAGTCTCATCGTCAGTCTCATAGTCACTCTCGTGGTCATCAGCACCGGTAGCAATGTTTCCCACATTTGGTTTGTAGCCAATACGAGGACGGTTGACATACAACACAGATAACCAATTGGCAATACGAGAGCACAGGTATAGTACGATAGCACACAATATGAAACTAATCATTAGATTCTTATCTATCATTTTGAACTCTAATTGATCCCTAATATGATAATCAATTGATTTCTATTGAAAACTATATATTACTGTACTTTATAGCAAACCGTTTGAATGAAAACTTTTTAATTAGTTTTTTTTAAAATACATTAAATTTAATATAAATATTATTTAATGCGTGAATTCAATAATTTAATTTTTAATTAATAGATTAGTCATTAAATACATTATTGATTTGAATTGATGTTATGTTTGTTTAGTATTGTGTGTCAAACAATGTCTCAGTGCGTGCCGTCCGTCGGCTTTAAATACATGACATTGTTGTCAATACAATCAATCAATGTCTGTGAATGTAATGGTTTTCGCACCGGTATTTGTATTGTTGTCAATACGAATAAATCTGATCCGAAAAGACATACAAATCATCTGATGGGCCGTTTGTATACTGTTTCCCTATCTAGTGGTCCATACGATAACAGATATCAATCATTATAGTAAAAGTAATCTAAAAGACAACTTAACCAAACTATTACTGAATTATTGAAACATTTTTTTCATATCCTATGTCTTCGGCTCTTTGAATGTCATGAATCCCGACGACAATAGAGACTATTTATCGCTGAAACAAATGTGGCTAAAGTTTTCCAATCACTATAGCGCTGATCCACAAAAGTTTGCCGTCCATTACAGTGCTTATCATTATTTCCGATCGAAAGGTTAGATCGACCGAAATCTAATCAAACATAACGAGATTATCAATGTTTTTACAATATTTATAATACTGTTTACTCATTGAATTCAATCATATAATATGTCTATTAATATGTTACACAACCGACGGTTCGCAATGCTATACATGTCGGTAATGTTGTCTATAATATGACGAGTCAAGTAGTTTTTGAATACATGTTTGAAGATATTAGCCGATCGGCTGAACCAAATCTGACGGCAATTATTGACAACGGATTAAAAGTATTATTATTTTGATATTATTTTTGGCGTCGAGTCTATCAATGGATTACTGATGAATCAAAGTATTTATAATCTGTTTTTTTAAGAGAATAATTATACTATTTTTTAAATTAATAACAATTATTGTATTTAAATAGATTGGAAATATTATAACGATTACAATAGAGCCAAACGAGACATTTGGAGAGTCAATACAAACGATACACAAATAGCCGGTTATGCAAAAAGTTTCGGTAATTTTACTCACGTTATCGTACGTAATGCCGGTCATAGTTCACTGTTAGACCAGCCCAGGGCTACACTGGATATGGATATTAGTTTTGTTAAATTTTTTACCGTTTGGACAATAAATTATAATTTATTAAATCTTATTTCTAAATTATTTTTTTATTATTTAAATTAAGATGATTATACAACAGTATAAAATATAAAACATATATATTTTTTGTAGAAATGTAAAATGATTTATAAGTTATTAGATTTATTTGTTTTTTACTGCACTTTTTTAAACATTCAATCATTTACTTTATTATATATTTGGAAAATTAATAAAATTATTGCTGTAATATACATATGATTTTTAGATATTTATAATTTTTAATTAAATCAAATTAAAATAATAAAAAATGATTAATAACTGAGTAAGGTAAAATTTCATATAGAGATAATCAAATTAATTTAAATCAACGTCTCATTACGATAAAACCGTTCGCGATAGTTTTGAGAGAGTCAGTGAAATAGGCTCCAGGAGATGATGGTACCTGGTGAATTTAAGTGGAACTAAAAATATATCAATGAAAATAGTAATAAATTTTTACTACAAACTACAATCGATAGTTGATATACATAATCGATGTTTGCATTAATCAATAAGCGATTATACTACTGAACTGTATATACTATTGTTATTGTTTTTTGAATTGAATTAATTTAATTACATTAAGTGAGTGAAATTGAGAAAAATGAGTGAACAATCAAACAAAAAAGGTAAGTAATATAAATTCAGTTGGTAATTCAGTTAAATAAATTTGGTTTAAACATTTTTAAAACTGAACCTATAATTGTTTAAAATAAATACAGTATAAACTATTAATCACCGAAACTGAGAATGAAATAACTATTTTTTTATTTTTTTCAAAATTAATGATTTAAAACTAAAACAACTTAATATTTATATTGACTGCTATTTTAAATTTTATTTAATAATAATTTAGTTTATATAATGATTTCTATTTATCTGATTATATGTTTAGTATAATATAAATAAAATAATAAATTAGCTAAATTATATAATGCTTTATAATATAATTAAATTGTAAATTATTTGTTAAATTAATAAAAAAATAAAATCAATTTTTATTAAATTTCAGATTTTTTTTGCAATTATAAATTTTATATAATAATAATTTTTATTTATCTTATTATATGTTTAATATATAATATCTAAATCATATAATATAAGATACATAAAAAATACATTTAATCATATGATTAGATGTTAAAATATGTGTTTTATAACATTGCTAAAGCATTTAATCATAAGATTAAATGCTGTGTTATTTGATTTAAAGCAATATATTAATATACATTTAATCATATGATTAGATGTTAAAATATGTGTTTTATAACATTGCTAAAGCATTTAATCATAAGATTAAATGCTGTGTTATTTGATTTAAAGCAATATATTAATATACATTTAATCATATGATTAGATGTTAAAATATGTGTTTTATAACATTGCTAAAGCATTTAATCATAAGATTAAATGCTGTGTTATTTGATTTAAAGCAATATATTAATATACATTTAATCATATGATTAGATGTTAAAATATGTGTTTTATAACATTGCTAAAGCATTTAATCTTATGATTAGATGTTCAACATAAATAAGTTATAATAACAGTCAATGTGTGAATTCTAATTTCTGTATTATATGTGATTTTTTGGTTAACACTGTAAAGCTATATGTAATAAGATATATATATATATTAGTTTAAGCATTTTTAAAACTGAACCTATATTATAAAATAATTATATCAACTATTAATCACATAATCTGAGACTGAAAATATCATTATTTTTTTTATTTTTTTCAAAATTAATGTAATTTATAAATAAAATAACTCATTATATTTATATTGATTGCTATTTTTAATTTTTTAATTTTTTTGTTTGTAATAATTTGGTTTATATAATAATTTATATCATTATATTTTTAATACATACATTATAAATAGTATATTATAATATAAATAAAATAAAAACAGTTAACTAAATTGTTTAAAATAATTATTTAGCCATTTATTATATTGTATAAATTAATAAATTAATAAAACAATCAAATTTTTTTTAATTTAAGATTATTTATTTTATAAATTATTAATTTCTATTAATCTTATTAAATATTTAATATCTAAATCAAAGAATATAAAATATACATAGAAATATACATTTAATCATATGATTAGATGTAAAATATATGTTTTATTTCATTTATTTTTATTTAAAAAATTGCTAAAGCATTTAATCATAAGATTAAATGCTGTGTTATTTGATTTAAAGCAATATATTAATATACATTTAATCATATGATTAGACGTTCAACATAAGTAAGTTATAATAACAGTCAATGTTAGTAATCTAATTTTTGTCTATTATATGTGATTTTTTAGTTAACATTGTAAAACTATATGTAATAAGATATATATATTGGTTTAAACATTTTTAAAACTGAACCTATAATATTATAAAATAACTATAATATCAACTATTAATCACACAAACTGAGACTGAAATAACATTATTATTATTTTTGTTTTTTTCAAAATTAATTAAATTTATAAATAAACAACTTTATATTGCTATTTATATTATAGCATTATATAAATTAAATAATACTAGTTAACTAAATTATATATGGTTTTATAATATAATTAAATATATCTAAATATAAACATTCACTATATCTTTAGAAATTGATGAAAAGTTATATAACTTAAAAATAAAATTGCTGTCAAACATTTGTAATAATGAAATTAGTGCAAAAATAGAAATTAAAAAATAGACTACAATTGTTGTTATAATACTATACATATGAAAAACCAAACTAATATTTATAACTTTATTATTAAAATCTTGTATATAAATCATTTTGATGTCAACAACCACTTAGTAATATTACGTTTTTTCAGTTTATATTTATCATTACATTATAACATTATAAAATAATTGATTTATTTTAATATTAAGATATGTATTAATTTAAGAATTATTTTTTAAAACTTATAATATAAAACTATTACTATAATTGCGTTTTATAACTTAAATTTTGTTGGATTTAATTAATAGTAATAATAGAATGTATTAATTAAATATATATTTACAAATATTTCATATGTAATATTGTATTATTAAATACTGTATTATAAACACATTATAATAATCATTAATTAAAAACATATTTTGTATGTGTTTTATATATTTCTTTTATTTCAGCAATTAATTTTGTTATAATCTATATCTTATTAAAATATTTTATATATAATATACTTCATATACTTATACTACTGAATTGTATATAATATTTTTATTGATTTTGTGGTCATTTATAATGTTTTTTGTGATCTATTTAATGATTTTCTATCATTAATTATCATTTTTATCATTAATAAATTTTTTAATTAAATAAAATTTGAAAAAATTAGATGATAAATATTAATTTAGATTAAAATTTTCTTATTTAATTTACTTTAGTAAATATATAACACTATAATGTAGTTTATTGAAACATTTAGATGACATTATTGATGTATTAGTGTAAACATCGATATAATCGTTAGTATCGATTGTTCATTCATTAAATTATTAATAGGCATTTGGCGCCAAAAAAGTGTCGCTTATGTGGCGACATCTGGATCGACCCTCCGAACGGTTTTATCGTAATGAGTTTGATTAGCTTAACAATATAGTTGACTATACAGTGAAACACAAGCCATATGGACACACCTAACCAAATGCCAATCAGACCACCGAAATCGCAAATACATGCTATCAGCTGTACCTCAGTAATCGACTCAATGATTATATCGTTGCGATTATGGTGTCTAACAT